AGGCTTGACACGCACTCTAAACCTACCATACTGCATTAAATGAACATTTAATGCACTGGGTATAAATAGAAGTGTTTCTTCTCCATGCAGAGTGCGCGCGTCACTCTCTATTCTCATTCTTACTTCAAGCTTCTTTCAGCTTAAGTGAAAGACTCTCTTTTAGCAATATCTTTTCTTGTATTTGCTAACCTTTGTGTGTAACTTAAGATTGTTTAGATAGGTTTCTTATACCTTATCTTTCCGCAAACAATCTTGTAAAATTTGTATTGATCTTCTCTATCAATATATATTTTAAATTTGAAAACTGTGTTTGTATTCATCCCCCTCCCCCCTTCTACAAACTGTTTAGTATTCTTATAGACCCTTTGGGACCAACAATAATTGTGCTTGTATGTTCATATGTGAAAGCCACAAACTAAGATTAGTTAATAAGTTACATATATGTTCATATGTATTCATAAGTGTTCATAATGCAACACGAATGATTCTACGAACTATAAAAAGAATGAGCAATTACCGATTTGTAACTGATGTAATTATTAACTATCAATTTGTAACCAGTTTGGACATCTCTCCCAAAAATACCCCTGTTCACCTACGTTTGATATCCTTCATTTTTAATCAACTACAAATATGCCACAATTGATCTCATCAATAGATTTTAAAAATCAAGGGTCAAGATTGGTTCACAAAGTTAACACCAACAAAAGAACCTCCCCTATATATATATATATATATATATATATATATAGGGGTCCATTAAGGGAGAACTGATTAGCTTGTGATAACTGTGAGATCGAATCTCAACCACAAATCAATGAATAAATTACGAAACTAATATTTTTGGTAATTTTTTTAGGTATTTTAAAATTTCTCTCTCTCTCTCTCCGACCTCTGACAAAAATCATGTAATGCCCAAAATACACCAAGATACACAATGTGATACCCAAAACATACCAAGTAAACTTTGAGACCTTTGTGATACCAATTGTGGTACCACTGTGATAGCAACTGTGGCGGGGATGGGGGAAGGGAGATAGGTAGTGAGGGGGTCATAAGGAAAAAGATGGTGCGAACTGTCGGGAATGCTCACAGGTTGGTGTTTAGTGGTTGATCACCAGAGACGACATCTTGGTCAGACAAGATGACCGGAGAAAGTCATCGGAGTGGTGGTGGGTGCAGGAGAAGGCCACTAGATTTGGTCCCTCTGCGTCCGTATGTGTGTGTATATATACATATATTAAAATAATTAAACTAATTAAAGTAAATTAGAATATTAAACTAATTAAGTAAATTGAATAATCAACATAATTTACTAATTTACCTTTTATTTTATTTTAGTAAATAACATTAATTATCTAAAATGATTGACTCATATTGGATTTCACAGTTACCACAAACTATTTAGTTTTCATTTGATTAGACCCCTATATATGTATGTATATATACAGACACACATACTTTTTTAACTATCTAATTAGTATAAACTTTGTTAAAGGAAGTATTTTTATCTTTTTAAATATTAATACTATATTACTTAATTATCACATTTTTTAATTATCTCATTTACTTTGTTTAAACTTCCTTAATTACCTTATTCACTTTTTGATTCACTTCTAAATTTCGATAACAATTTTAGAACAATCATTGTTCATACACGAAACAAACATTTTGATCTTTAAACAAAAATCATTATTTCACATATGAACTCTAAACAAAATCATTGTTTCAACTATGAACATTCTGGTTTCACCTGTGAACTTCGATAAAAATAATTTGGAATAATCAAAGTTCATAAATGAAACAACACTATGAATTTTAAACAAACAACATATAAGACATGATTATTTTTCAGAAATAAAAACAAACACCATATTAAAGAGAGTTTGGTAGAGTTGTTCAAGAGGGAGAGATAATAGACTGGTGATGATTATCTTCCAAAAATAAAAATAAAAGAAACAATTTATTTCAAAATTGTCCTCCATATAATTCAATTTAGGGGGTGTTTGGGATTACTTATAAAAACAACTTATTGACTTATTCCGGTATGGTACTGGTAATAAGCACTTTTGAGTGTTTGGATAAGCAGCTTATACCGGTGCCAAACCGGTAATAAGGATTTTTTAAAGAAGTTAAACAATTTTAACTTATAATAAATTGATAAAGACTTTTATAAAAACGTATAAATTGTTTCAAATAAGCAATGTGAAACACCCCCTTAATTTCTTTTCTTTTTCATCATTCTATTTTGTAAAGTTAATACTATTTTTGGTTAAAAAATTGATTATGTCTTTTTCTCTCTATATATATACATAGAGAGAGAGAGAGAAGAAAAGGAGAGAAGAGAGGATGTTTTTGTTAACCAAACAAATTGTGTAACTATACAAACCCATTTTCATAAATAAATATAAAAAAAAAAAAAAAACCATTGTTAATCCTTATTAATTCATGTTGGAGTCAATTATTAGGAGTATGAAGATAATTTCAGTTTTTAGTTATTTTTTAATTAATGAATTCAATAGGATGTTATAAAAAATGGTTGCATGATTTTAGGGATTGTAATTATATCATCTCTTTCAAGTTTTCTCAATGAACAAGTTTACAGAGGGAGAAAAATAGATATTATACTTGAACAAGTTCGAAAGTGAAACAAGTGAACAAGTTTAACATATGATCAGGGTAGGCACTGATCAGTATCAGTATCAGTATCAATAACTATAAGGGTATACAGTCTAAAAATTAAAAATAATTTGGTACTACTGATGATGTATAATAATATGATTAAATTCAAATATATTCAATATTGACCTCATTAGGTGTTGACGGGACAATCACAATCGTCAAAATTATTAAAAAGAAATTTATAACGTTTGTAGTATTTTAGTTGCTATATGATTATGCATAATATTATGATAAAGATGTAAAATAAAAAATAAAAATTAAGGAATATAAAGTAAATTATATAACTAATTATAAGGGTATAATTAAAATGTAATTTAAAAATTAAAAATGATTAGTGTTTGAAGGTGTGGGAGAGAAAGTAGATGAGAGAAATCGGTAGAAGCATAAGTTGTTTTAAATAAGCAATCCCAAACACCCCCTAAGTTTATGACCATCCAAACATGTATTTTTCAACATGCTCAAAATAAAGGTTTGCTTATGATTGTCAAACATAACTTGAGTCATTTTCTTATTCTCTCTACACCACAATTTTATTGGAGAAATTAAGGGGCCGTTTACCAAACGTTTATCGGATGAATACTTATTAAGTCATATTTACCTTACTAAATGAATATGATAAGAAATAAAAATCTTGCCCTGAAAACAAATACTAAGTCTGTCAAGTAAGTGATGACGATAAATGATGATAAATTTATGTGCAGTTCTATGAAGAACAAAAGAAAAACCGTCTACGAATTTGCTCTAAAAGCCTCTCTCTCTCTCTCTCTCTCTCTCTCTCTCTATCAGTCAACACAAAATTAGTGTTTATTATATTCAAGAATGATAAGGGAGGTGAAATGCGGACTCATGCTTCTCCGTGGTCCTTCCTTGTACCAGATCGCTACTCCCCACTCTCACCTCCTCCTCCTCCTCCTCCAACGATGACGATCGCCAACTGCTACTACCAAACGACATCGTTCTGGTGGAACTAGGTGTGGCTAAAAACGTCGGTTTCGCTTCTCCAGCCATGATTACTAAATATTTCTCTTCCATATCTGACGACTTCCGATTGTCGTTGTGGTTTTCCGGCAGTGAGCTACCAGCAGACTCAATATCTCCGTCGTGGTTGTCAAAGTAGCCGGAGAGCTTCCAGTAAGAGCAGGCAAGAATGAAGAGAGCAAAGGCGATGAGAGCCACCATGGCAGCAAGTCCGCCGAAGAGGTACGGCACCGGTGAGTGCCATGGTGACGGTTGAGGAGCTATTGAAGAAATTGGTGCCATCATCTTTCTTTATTTCCTTTTTTAGGTTCAGTGTTGGAGGATGAATTGGTTTTTATAAAGAGGAAATATGGAAATAAATAATTGGGTGGGCGTTTTGATGGTTTTTAGATCAACTTTTCTCACGTTTAACGTGTAAAGTTAAAGATAATTACATCTAATGAAATATTAAAAGTGAAATTACTAAAATACTTTGAGATTACTTATAAAAAAAATAAATTATTGACTTATTTCAGTGTAAAATCGGTAATAAGCACTTTTGAGTGTTTGGATAAACGACTTATACCGGTGCCAAACCGGTAATAATGAGTTTTTGAAAAAGTTAAAACTCTTCTGACTTATAATTAATTGATAAATATTTTTGTAAAAAAATATAAATTGTTTCAAATAAACAATCCCAAACACTCCCTAAATATTCTTCAGAATTCAAAGCATCTTCGGTTATTATGCTATAATTTTTTTAATAAAGTTATAATCTTTAACTTTTTTTTACATAAAAGTCCAAGAGCTTTTCTATTTTAAGTTTTAACAATTCTAATATTCTTCTACATATTTAATTTCAAATAACTCTTATTAATGAAAAAAATTAAAATATTATTTCTCCTTTTTCTAATATTCGTTGAAGATTCCTACTTAAACGTACTTCGACTAATCTCGTGGAACCCTGAAATTAACGATTAGCCAAACCTTCCGTGTCCCTTAAAAGATCGAAACTGATGAACTCCAAGAAGTAGACACATAGTTTTACGAATTAAGTTTGGCCCATAACCTTCAAACATGGTAAAAACTTGAGTTTGAAACACATATCAATATAGTCTAAAAAGTACTTATTTTACACGAATTCTCAAGTTTGATATAATAGGAATCGTCTTTACATTATTTTTAATGAGATAATTAAAAAGTAGACATGTTTAAAAAATCTATTGGACTTATCAAATTGGTCGAACCAAGTCCAATCGCATCCTTTTTGGCGGTTTGAGCCATCTGACGATCCGGTTCAATCTTAAAATTAGCCAAACTTCTTTGTGTAGTTTTATGCCCCGGTTAATTTTGCATGTTGGTTTGGTCTGATCTTCATTTCAGCCTTTATGGTTGATGTAGACACTTGTTAACACATCTCATCCTTTTATACAGAGAGAGAACAGTAAAAAAGTATGATACTAATAAAATAGTGTTCTATAACTTACTTTGGCAGACATGCAGAACATGTTCTTATACAAGGATGAGTGTTAGAGTTGGTGAACCAAACTTCCTGGACAAGTTTTCACTCCAAAATTCGGCTTGCCAGCAGTAGTATTTGTCAAACTACCATTTGACTTTATCTTGTATTGATCTTCTTTTGGCTTGATGACAAACCAATCCGTTTTGATGACGATATTAACCTCACTTCAACTAGTCTTCAATTTTGTTGAATGTCTTTTGTTCTTGAATCAACATAGAAAGTTACAAGACTTAGAAAGAAAAATCTTGTTTTTTCTGTTCCGAATTATACACTACTAGAAAACTGGGCATTTCCGGCGGAATTTCCGGCGGACAAATTCCGCCGGAAATTTTCCGGCGGATTTCCGGCGGATTTCCGGCGGAACTTTAAAAAGTCAAATTTTGTTGACTTCCGCCGGACAACCGCCGGAAATCCGCCGGAAAATTTAAACCGGTTAGATTTC